CTCCAGGCTATGGGGAGAGGTTCCTGACCCCTTCATCTTGCATTTGCCTGACTGCAGCGGAAGACAGAGTTCAGAGAACGGCGGGCGGCAGGCCTAGGAAGGGTGCAGTTGCTGGTTTCTCTTCCAGTGCGTCCACAGATGTGGGAGGGACTCTACCATGGGGTGCTCAGGCTCCAAGCCCCAGGGAGGAGGACTGGCAAAGCAGTGAGAGGTGACAGCTGTGCGCAGCACAGCCCCTGATTGGGATCAGGAAGAGAGCCCAGGTTTTGTTTTAAAACACAAACACCCTGTTTTAAATCATTCCTTAATCATTTAGCTGTGCTATTCTCAGTTCCCTAGGTAAACAGGATCCCTTCCCGGGCTGGGGCTGTGATTGACATGAGTCCTGCCTCCTGTTTAGTGCTCAGCACAACAGCCATGTGCAGTGAGGCTCTGGTCCTCAGCAGGGATGCTCCGAGGGTTTTGGCCTCCAGAGCCTGACTCATGTAGCTGTGGGCAGGGGTCCGCTCTTCTGGAAAGGATACTAGCCTGCTCCCCACTTGGTCCATTTGGATGGGATGTGGGATGGCTTGCTTTTCCATCTCTTCATACCAGGAATGGGCCCTTGGTGTAGCCTGGCCAGGCCAAGGTGTAGAGGGTGTACCGATAGGCATGGGGGACAGTATGGGACACAAGATTCAAGAGGCGTAGGAGATGTCCTGGGATTTAGGAAGCAGAAATCCCCTCTTTTCAGTTGGAACTGCAGAGAGGGAGTCACCACGTGGAGAAAGTTGGCTGGGGATGAGCTGAGAACACTACCTAATAAGCTCCTGGATCCAGCGAGACCTGAATCCCAGAGACCCCTGGGTTCTTCAGGTATTGTGATCCGAATCTTTACACAGTCATTTCCTTATGTAATCTAAATGCTTTGTGCTTCAAACCTAGAGTCCTGCTTGCTACCAGCTGTTAGGAATGAGTTTTCATGACTACAGCTACTAGGGAAAAACAGACAAAGAATAGCAAGCCAGAAACAGAGGCCTTGAGTTCTAATTGTTATGAATATATCAACTGCATAACCTCCTGGGTCTTAGTCACTCTATCTACAAAATGGGTTCATGGCTCTGCTCACGTTGGCTTTTCCCACTTCCTGGTTTAGAGTTGTAACCAAGACCTCTCTCCAGAGCTCAGACTTATAAATCTAGGTGTCCCCTTAGCCTCATTAACAGAAATAATTGTAAGCTGTCTGGTACTTTGGGCTAGAAACTGCAAGCTGGCTTGCACTATCCCCCCCCCCTCCTTACTCCTTCACAGAGTAACAGAAGCCTTGTGTCTTAGCTGGGTACATGACTGCCTCAGAGAAAGACTATCTCCCAGACTCCCTTGCAGCTAGGTGTGACCAGGTGACAACCAGCCAATGGCATGTAACAGAAGTGATATGTGTAGTTTTTGGGTTTGGCCCTTAAAAGGGGGAAAAAAAATAAGGAAAGAGAGGCATGGTTTCCCCCTTCAGGCCTTCAGGGTCCTACTTCTTCCTGGCTAGAATGTAGATGTGGGGTGAGCTGAGGTTTATCTTGCTAAAAAGGGCAAGGCTCCCTGGATGGCAGAGAACAAGCCTGAAGGAGCCTCTATCCCTGGAGGTGGTCAGTGTGGCCAGCTTGAGCTGTTTATGTCTGGTGTGCGTGTGTGTCCATGTGTGTGAGAAACAGCTCTTATCTTGTTATTCTAGATTGCAGGTTAGATTCTTAAATTTAGGGCTCCCACAGTTAGCAAATACAAATCCCCATTTTTTGACCTTTTAGGGAGCTGGAGGAGGGCATGGAAGATTCTAGAAGAGTAATGAAGATGTCCAGAGATTACACAAGAAGGCAGGTGAGTCCAAGCCTGGCTCTCATTCTCTTGGATGCTCTCACTCCTCCCCCGAGCCTCAGTTTCTCCTTCAAATGATGGCACTGAAGTGACTCTACCAGTTTCTTATGTCCTTCCAGCTCTGACCTCTGTGGTCCAGCAGTTCTAGGACATTGAAACCAAAGGGGCCAGAAACCCCATCACTGAGCTAAGCTTGCCAGGTAGGGCCGGGTTCTGGAGACGGAGACCCCCTTGAGGGCAGTCACTGTTCGGTTCCTGCTGATTGTGGTCACAGGGGAGTGCCCGGTTGCCAGATTTCCTCATTTTTAAAGAAGAGCTGGAAATCTGGATTGTTTTGGCCTGTACAATCTCCTGAGTTTTAAATGTTGGCGGTAAATTCACATTTCTTTTAATACTTTGGGGGCCAAACAAAAATATCTGCAAGCTGAATTTGGCTAGTGGCTGTTCGTTAGGAATTTTTGTTTTGATACTATTTTCCCTCCTTTCTCCTCTTTTCTTCCCTGCCTCCCTCCCTCCCTCCCTCCCTCTCTCCCTCCCTCCTTTCTTCTCTCCCTCCATCCCTCCGTCCCTCCCTCCCTGTCCCTCTGTCCCTCCCTCCCTCCCCTCCCTCCCTCCTTTCTTCTCTCCCTCTATCCCTCTGTTCCTCCCTCCCTCCCTCTGTCCGTCCCTCCCTCCCTCCTTTCTTCTCTCCCTCTATCCCTCTGTTTCTCCCTCCCTCCCTCCCTTCCTTCTGGTGCCAGTGACGTGGGAGGCTGTGTTCTGTGCACCATATAAGCAACAAGTAAGAAAGGGAAGTCCTGGGCCTTCAGTTGCTTGGCCTCCCGGGAGACTGTCCTGATTCACTGATCCAACAAATGCACATGGAGCAATTCCATCCCTGCACCATGTTGGATTGGGAAGGTGAGACGTGTTCATGATCTTTGTCCTAAGGGCACTTAGCATTAGCAAAGGAGGTATACACTAAGTGCAGAATTATGGCCAAAGTGAAAAACTTATTTCTAGGAAGAGATGTAACTTAGATGGAGGTGGTTAGGAAAGGTCTCTGAGGAAATGCTGTTAAGTATGAGAACTAAAGTCCCGTGTTGTCACCTCAGCTGCCTGAGAGGCTGAGAGAGGTGGATGGAAGAGGGAAGGCTGAGGGGGACCAGCTAGGTGGCTCAGCTGAAGGTGATGATGACTGTGCTGAGGGGGAGGGACTGGACCAGGGCATGGGGTCCGGAGTGGACTTCTAAGTGAGTCCTTTCCTCGAGGGAGCCCCCAGCAAGGCTTAAAGTGACACAGACAGGAAGATCACACCCAAGCTCACAGGGTCCCACTCAATGAATCAGAGGCTATGACATGGGCTATAGAGAGCTTCATGGTGGCCGTGTCTAAGGCCGAGAAGGAGCGTATGCCTGGGGTGCAATCGCACTGGATGGATGGACACACGCCTTTAGTGAGTGACGCAAGGCCACAGCCGTCTTGGGAAGGGCACCTGCTTGCTGTGGCTGCCTAGCCCAGCACTCTTGGCTGTTGTTGCCCAAGCCGCACAGGATGGAAAACGCACATTCGTGTCCCCTGCTAGACATATTAATGGCATGCCTATGGGCGAGAGATTTCTGCACTCCCAACACCATTTTTATATCCGGCACGGCGTCCTGGCAGACAATAAATCTACCTTGCTAATTACACCTCTAGCTTGTTATGACCTCCATAAAAACCACAAGCAGCTGGAAAAGCCATGAGGTGATGTCAAGTCACCATCCAGTGCACTAAACAGAAACAGAAGCGTTTTCCAGACGCTGGTGAGTCTGGAGGCTGGTGAGTCTCCAGGTTCCTGTCCATGCTGGAAGCAGCTACCCCTGGGCACTACCTCTGAGCAGTTAGATACCACTCTCTACCCTTACATGTCCCCTTGAAGAGATGGCAGGTGTCTAGTGCACCCCCTTGTGGTCTGTTAAGAAATCCACAGCAGGCTGAGGCGATGGTTCAGTCAGTATGGTGCTTCCCAGAAAGCCTGAGGACCTGAGTCAGATCCTTGACACCTATATATAAAAAAGCAGGTGTGGTGGTATGCACCTCTCGGGAGGAGGAGACAAGGGATTCCTGGAATTTCTGGCCAGTTAAACTAGCCAAGTTAGTGAGATCCAGATTCAGTGAGAGATGCTGTCTTAAATAATGTGGGAGGGGGCTGGAGAGATGGCTCAGTGGTTAAGAGTAGTGACTGCTCTTGCAGAGGACCTGGGTTCAATTCCCATTACCCACATGGTGGCTAAAAACCACCTATAACTCCAGTTCCAAGGGATCTGACTCCCTCTTCTAACTCTGATAGCATTGTACAACATGGGTATACTTACACACATGCAGACAATACACCCATACCCATAAAAGTAAAAAAATAACAAATAAAAAAATAAGGTGGGAAACAATTGTAAAAGAGATTTGATGTCGACCTCTGGCTTCCATGACTCTGAGGGCAATGTATGACATGGGTACACTTACACACATGCAGACAATACACTCATACCCATAAAACTAAAAGTAATAATAAATAAAATAAAAAAAATAAGGCGGGAAACAATTGTAAAAGAGACTTGATGTCAACCTCTGGCATCCATGCACACGCTCAGATACAAAGGGAAAAGAAAGCACTGGACCCCCTTTTGCAGCTCTTTTCTGTGTCTAGCTATGACCCACCCAGCCCTTTAAAGAAGCAGACAGTAGAGGATTTCCCTGCCTGTGCTATAAGGTAGACCCTGACCATTTCATGCCTTGGAAGACAGTAGTCAGGAAACTGATTAAATTTTCATATGTCAGAGGAAAGTTACATAGGTCCAATCCTGGCTGACCCAAAGGGGCAGCTCTGGGTGGACGCTTTGCCTCGTGAGCAACCCCCACAATTTCCAGGACAAGCAGTCTGGGCACACAGTCACACTGAAAAGTCAAAGGGCCGGTGTGGTGGCTCTGGGTCAAGGCGCCTGCTGCCAAGTCTGATGAGCTTTCGAGCCCTGGGATTCACACGGTGGAAAGAGAACAGATTGACCCCTGAAAGTGGTCCTCTGACTTCCTGATGGGCACAGTGGCACACACGCGCATATCCACACACGCAGGCACACAGGAACACAAAATAAGCAAATGTATTAACATTTTTTAAAAATGAAAAAACAGATTCTTACCTTTCCATATCTGGATGCAAAGGTCCCCGTGAGCAGGGAGTGGAAAATGATGATGGTTTCATCCAAGTCCCACACGAACACACGCTGCGATGGAGGAGGAAGAAAAAGAACATGAAGTTGCCTGCGTCTGGCTTGATGTCTGCAGAGTCAAATCCCCTTGGAGAAGTCTTGAAGCACACTAAGTTATAAAACAGGTGACCCACACTGCACCCTAAGCTGCCACTGAACCCCGTCTGTGTCAAGCACCATGGCCCATTTCTGGGCTCCTACCAGCTCCATACATGTGGAACCAAAAATTCATATAAAACTCAAAAAAGAGAAGCACTTGAGCCAAAAACAGCAACACAAACCTTAGAACTCACTTGACAGTGTGAAATGCCTCCCGAGTTAATTCACTGTTCCCCATAAGCCGGGCTTTTCCTAACCATTTCTGTTTTCAGCAGATCTGTTCCCAGGTCTAAGTAAAGGGTAAGTTCCCTCACAGACTTGCCAACAGTTTGATAATTTTTTTTAACTGGGTCAAAATCTTCATTTTTGCATATAGCACTGTCTCCATCATATGGAGGAGGAGGAGGACCTTGGTGTCCCTCTTTGTCCCCACCTCCTTCTCTCAATAGCCATTAGTATTGGGTTCACTTTCCCATGGTCAGAGTGAGGAAGCAATTAAGTATATTTATTATTTATTCAATGTGTATGAGTGTATCGCACACATGCATGTAAGTGCACCTGTGTGGTGTAATGCCTGTGGAGGTCAAAAGAGGGAGTCTGATCCCCTTGAACTGAAGTTACGGATGGTTGTTAGCCACCATGTGGGTGCTGGGATTCAAACCCGAGTCTTCTGCAAGAGCAGGTAGTGCTCTTAACTGCTGAACCATCTCTCCAGCCCCTTACTCCTCCTTTTAAACAAAGTCTTCTGACTTTTTGTCTTTGTCCTAATAAATTTCAACTCTCTTCCAACCCGTCTATTAAACTTTTGATTCTTGAAGTCATTTTAAAATTCCAGTAATTTTTCTTTTCTCCAAACTTTTCTTTCCCAATAGCCTACACTGATTATATTTTTAAAAATTACATTGATTAGCTGGGCGTGGTGGCACATGCCTTTAATCCCAGTACTTTGGAGGCAGAGGCAGGCAGATCTCTGTGAGTTCAAGGCCAGGCTAGTCTACCTAGCAGGTTCCAAGAGAGCTAGGGCTTCAGGGACAGCCTGTCTCAAAAAAGACAAAAAAACCGTGCCACGGTGCATGTGTGGAGGTCAGAGGAAAGCCTGTGGTAGTAGGTTCTCTTCTTCTATCATGTGGGTTCCAGAGATTGAACTCTGGTTGTCAGGCCTGGCGGCAAGTACGTTTACCCTCTTGCTGGCTCTTCTGCTCTTGGTTTACGAATACAAAAATCTCCTTGAATTCTTATAAGAAAGCCAACCAGAATTTTTCTAAGTTCTTTCCTGTTTCCTAAACTTGCTTCTCCTTTACCCGTTGATTTTTCTTGGGCTTTATTTTTCATAGTGCTGACCTTCCTCGTTTTTCTGACCGTTGTTAAGAACACAGGGCCTGATTCTTCTTATTTTTGTCTCTGTGGCTAGTGTTGAGAAGGAGGGACTAAACCCTGTACATGGCCACCTTTTCAAACTCCTGTCAGCCAAGAACTGCACTGACACGTGACTTTGCTATGCCTTTAAAAGCAAAGAGAAGCCTCTAGGATGACAAGGGCAAATTAGCATCCCGGGTTCTCAAGTGTAGAGCTTTGGGAACAACCAAGAGAGCAGAGCACTGTTTTGTGAGTATTCTTGGTCCAGTTTTGTTTTTAATTGCATGCTGGGTCATTCTGGTATGTCTATTTCTCTCTCTCTCTGTGTGTATGTGTGTGTGTGTGCACGGCTGTGATGTGCATGTTGAAGCCAGAGCTCAACATTAGATGTTTTCATCTGTTTCTCTCCATCTTATTTTTTATTTTTCTTTCATCTTTTGGTTGTTAGCCTTAGCCCTTTTTTTAAAAAAATTTTATTTATAATTTTTATTTTATGTGTATGAGTATATTGCCTGCATGTAGGTGAGCGCACCCGTGTTGTGCAATGCCGCAGAGGTCAGAAGAGGGCTTCGGATTCCCCTGGAACTAGAGTTAAGGACAGTTACTAGCTGCCATGTGGGTGCTGGGAATCGAACCCGGGTCCTCTGCAAAGAGGAGTCAGTGCTCTTAACCGCTGAGCCATCTCTCCAGCCCCTAGCCTTAGCCCTTTTTAAAAAAATTTTTGTTATTTTTATTTGGGGTGTGTGTGTATTGCCTGAATGCATGTAAGGGCACCCGTGTCATGCAATACCCTCAGAGGACAGAAGAGGCATCAGATCCCCTGGAATTGGAGTTATGGATGGTTGTTAGCTGCCATGTGGGTGCTGGGATTGAACCCAGGTCCTCTGCAAGAACAGCTAGTGCTCTTAACTGCTGGGCCATCTCTCCAGCCCCTCTCTACCTTATTTTTTGAGAGAGTCTCTCACTGAACCTAGAGCTCAGCATTTCAGCCTGACTGGCCACTGAGCCCCCAGGATCTTCCTGTCCTCCTTTTGGCCCTGGGATTACAGATGTGTGCCACCACACCCAGCTTGTTATGTGAGTGCTGGAAGCCCAAATGCAGGTCGTCTTGCTTGGGCTGCAGGGATTTCACCCACTGTCTTGATTTGTTTCTACTGAAAACTTGAGACAACCTAGAGTGGCCTGGGAAGAGGGAACCTCAACTAAAGAATTTCCTTGATCAGGGGTTGGAGAGATGGCTCAGCGGTTAAGAGCACTGGCTGTTCTTGCGGAAGACCCGGGTTCGAATCCCAGCACCCACATAGTAGCTAACAGCTCTCTGTAACTCCAGTTCCAGGGGATCCGACAGCCTCTTCTGTCCTCTGAGGGCATTGCATGACACAAGTGCACTTACTTACATGCAGGCAATGCACACATACACATAAAAATAAAAAATAAAAAGTAAAAAAAGAATTTCCTTGATATAACTGGCTTGTGGCCATGTCTATGAGAATCTTGATTGATGATTGATGCAGGCAGGCACAGCCCACTGTGGGCAGTACCATCCCTAGGCAGGTTGGCCTGAGCTATATAAGAAAGCCAGCTAAGCATGAGCCAGTGAGCCAGTAAGCAGCAGTCTACCCTAGCTTCTGCTCCAGGTTCCTGCCTTGAGTTTCTGCCCTGACTCTTCAGTGATGGCCTGTGACCTGGAAGTGTAAGCCAGATGAACCCTTTCCTCCCCTGAGGTCATGGTGTTTAGCACAGCAACCGGAAAGCAAACTAGAACACCTACTGAGCCATTTCCCTGGCCCCAAATGTATTTCTTACTATGGGCATGTGGACCATGTAAGTAATGTTTGGAAACTGTTGCTTTTGAGGAAGTCTTCTGAAATTCAAATAGGCCAAGTCTTAATTCATCTGAACTCAATGTCTTCAATCAGTTTAACTTAGAAATTTTACTTGTGGGGCTGGAGAGATGGCTCAGTAGTTAAGAACATTGGTTGTTCTTGCAGAAGACC